ATATACGAGTAGACGCGCGTGACCGCGTATATACGCGTATATACGAGTAGACGCGCGTGACCGCGTATATACGAGTATATACGGGTATGTGAAAATATTTTCGATTATCTCGAATAATCTCGAATACGAAAATATTCTCGCATATACCAAAATATGAAAATGTTTTCGATTTTTTCGTATATAATCGAATATGAAAATATTCTCAATTCTTTTGTCATGAACTCGTATGTGAAATTATTCTTGCATTGAAAAGTATCATCGAATATTCGCGGAAGTAAAACAATTCTCGAGTATCCCCAAGTATGAAAATAATTTAAAATATTCGCAGAAGTAAAGTTATTTTAGAATTTTAAAATGTTTTCAAAAATTCACAGATATGAAAAAAATTATCGAATTTCTACATATACACCAATATAAAAATTTTCTCGCTTTTCGCTCATATACTTGTGGATAAACATATTTTTGTTTCCAAAAATTTTTTCGAATAACCGTGGCTATGAAAAAATTTCTGATAATAAGCATATATCTAAATATTTCCTATTATGGAAATATTCTTGAATTCAAAGTACTTTCTTGTGGTTGTGTCATACACGTACACTGAAATATTAAAATATTTTCGATTTTTGCGGCCATACTGGAATATAAAAATATTCATGTTTACAAACATATTTCCGATTATTCACAGAATTATCACAATTCTCGAGTATTCTCGAGCATGTTAACACTTTAAAATGTTCACGGACATACAAATAATAGCGTATATAAAAAATGTATCTGAATATTCGCTAATATGATGATATTCTTGAATTCAATGTACTTTCGAGTGATTGTGTTATCACACATATACTCGAATATAAAAATATCCTCGCTTTTCGCTCATATACTCAAGTATAAACATATTTTTGTTTTCAAACATTGTTTCGAATAAACGCGGATATGAAAAAATTTCTGATAATGAACATACATCAAAATATTTTCTAATATGGAAATATTTTTGAATTCAAAGGGCTTTTAAGTGGTTGTTTTATACATCGTGTTATATTCAAATATCAAAATATTTTCGATTTTTGCGTATACACGCGATTATAAAAATATTGACGTTTATTATAAACATATTTTCTATTATTCACGGTATTAACAAAATTCTCGAGTATTCCCGATCATGATAACATTTTGAAATTTTCACGTATTTAAAAATATATCTGAATATTTGCTAATATGATAATATTCTCGAATTCAAAATTCTTTAGTGTAGTTGTGTTATAAAACGTGAGTACATGCCCACTGTGAAAGCACTATTAGTTATATAAATAAATGAATAGAGATGTAAATGAACTATGATCACGTATGTGTTGGACATATCCAAGTCGATAGAAATGATACGATAATTGAATGCCATAAATACATTATAATGATTTTGCACAAAAAAGTAATTCAATACTTTATTTACAGTTTTCCTAATTGGTCTGAGATTTTTTAATGGTATTATATTTTAAATTTTACCTAAGCAGATTATTAAAAAAAAGTCCTTCATGATGCCCAAACGTCATCGAGAGAAATGTGACCACGATATGAATATATTTTAAAGTGTAATTTTTTATAAAGCACGATACTATGTATTGATATGAATAATTGTCGGAATATTTTTGGTGCTTCTGATTGATTATTCGCGCATGAATTCATTCACATTATTAGCGAAGGCAGATGCTCTGTAAGTACTTTACACTATATAGAATTTTCAATATCGAGAAAGTAATCTTTGATTATGTATAATATAAATTCAACTTTATTAACAAAAAATTACAGACGACGGTTGAATTAAATGAAAAAAAAATGTACTCTTCGCTGCATTGATAAATATGTGAACATATCGTTTTTGATTACAGCCTAAGTAAAAAACACATAATCAGGGTTTAAGGAAGAGAGAACGAAAGGAAAAAACAGAGGTGGTTTGAATGATATTTTTCGCGTGCAAATGTGTTGGTGTGAAAGAAGTTTTGAACGCTTATCATTGTATCATCGTCCGTAAGTAAGAAAAATTGATTTAAAATACTTCGTCTAAGAAGCGCTGTTTTGAATAAAATTAGCTACTAAATTCATCAAAAACGTTCGACAAGACATGAGAATAAAAAATAATGTTAATTGAAGTGTAAAATAAACTGAACTAAAGGATAAAAAATGATGACTCGACGTTATTGTTTTCGATACAAAAATAATGAATAAAATTCATTGATGATTACGATAATAATGTATGCTACGGTAACAAAATGAAATAAATTTATAATTATCTTCAAAATAATTTTCATGTGTTATCTAGTTGAAATGAATGGCTTGGTTGAACCCACATGATTTATACTACTGAATACATATTGTCTTGGGTAATGAAATTACACTCAATAATTTATAGTTTTACTAATTATATATATTTATAGTTTATTTAAACTTTGTATTTTTGTACAATGATTTTTCTTGATAATTTTGTCTTATCATACACGAAGGAAATTGCTGACTATTACTGAATCAGTTTTAAAATCAAATTTTTCTCCCTCACTTTATTACTATCATACATGAAACAAATTTTTGTATTTGTCCGTTTTATTTGAAGAGGAGAACGAGTAGAAGTAAGAATTTGAAGAATTATTTCTTCATTTGTATTAACTCTACAATTTTATTCAAAAATAATTTTGAATCTAGCCAATTTTTTTCATAAAACTATATCAGAAATTACATTCCTTCAAGATTTTTACAGAATTTCAGAAAAAAATTTATAAAGTAAAACATTTTCACACTAAAAAACGCTAAAATACACAAAAAAAATCTTTTTTAAAAATCAATTAATTTTAAAAAATCAATTAATTTCAAAAAATTTTAAACGGTTAAAAAAAATTCGAAACAAAAAAGTTATTAAACTTTATATTCTTAATTTGCATTTGCATTTCGAGTAATTTGTCATTTACCTACTTATGAAAAATATCTTAAGATCTTTCTGTTTCAGGCATCTTATACTATAATCACACAATGAACAAATCGTCAAAGTAATGTGAATTTCTTCAAAACCAACAATGTAACTAACAATGGAAAATGAAATTTTCACCCAATACATTTTGGAAGAACACAAATGCGGAAATTTAAGGATAATTCAATCGTATACAAGCACTTTAATTTTTTACATCACGCAAACAAGCAAACATTTGAACAAGTTTTTATTCAAAATTGAATAAAGAAAAATTTTCTTAAATTCTCTATTTTTCAATACAATTATTTTTCAAATATATTTGACAATCTTTCTTTATCTATTTATGTTAAGATTTTGAAAAATTATATTTTTAATTACTTTTAAGACATAGCACCTAGTTTTCATTGGTCATCGTTAAATTTTTTGATTGTGCAGATAACTTTAGGAGTGCAGAGAGTATTGAATAAATGAATCGAATATTGAATTTAAGATTCTCTGAGCAAATACAAACAAAAAATTTTTTGTTGGCAATCGACTGCGTTTCGAATATTCGTAGAAGCATACTCCGAAAATCACAGACTTGACTAGTGGCATATAATCTATTTTTTCTTATTTTCTGGCAGTTGATAAGTCTGTATATCGTTGTTGTTTTTTGTAAAAAATGTATTAATACTTGATACACACCTATACGGAAGCAAGTTAGTTTCTGTGAAACATAAAATTGTATGGTTTATTATTGGATTAAGTTTGAATCTTAAATAGGTACATACTTTCACGCGAAGTCATTTGAATTTTTATGAAATGTCAAACGAGGCATTTCATTTTTCCACATTAAATATTCATAACTATGTACAAGATACTTAAATCGTCGGCAATATTAATTGCAAATATTCTTAAATTCATTACACTACTTTGGCGTTGATCCTTAATATTAAACATTATGATCACACACATTTCAACATTAATGAGACATTATTACCTACGAATCACGTCATTCAAATATCAAACCAGGAAACAAATGTAAACTCAATTTCACAAACAGTTGATATTAAAGTTCAAGAGACTGCCAAGTTAATATACAATGAGGAAGAAAATTTAAGAGACTGCAAGTTATTTTACAATGAGGAAGCCTTGCACGTTAACTATAAATTTGTCAAAATTGTCGCGGAATTTAAGTCTGTGTGTACGCCCAACATCAAGTCCAATGTTTTCGGTAAGTTCGTTGAACGCCGTAGCTAATCTTTGAGCAGTGGTTGCATCTGCCTGCTTGCTAATTAGAGTCTGCACAATTTGTTGGTATTTATCCTGGTAGCAGCATATGAGATAGTAAAACGGGATGCTTATGTGCGTTATCAAATCTGAGTTGATTTGATGATGAATGATTAAATTCATTAGGCACTGAAAAAAAATTAAGAAATTTAATATATTACTCATGATTATTGCATTATTATTACTTTTTTTTAAAGCTACACTTACGCCCATGAATCCTGCCAGTACGTTATTTCTTGGCAGACCACTTTCTACCTCACTGTAAATATGCTTAGCTAAAACTTGAATAATATCACAGCAGTGGAGTGTGACTTCGTGCCCGTAAGAATAAAGACCGAGTTCAACCGATGCTAACAACTGATTAAGCAATGTCGTAGGTAAGCTGAAAACTTGTCTTGGGTGCATTTCGCAGAAGTAAGTTATCATTTTAAAATATCTGAAAATTAATAATTTTTTCGTTAAGTCGAATAAATTTTTCGTTATCACATCTAATAAATGCATTCTACTTACTGGAGGCATAAAGAAGGGAATTTGAATAAATTAATAGTCATCATAGGCATTATGAAGTTAAAACCATACAGAAAGACAGTCACAGGCTCACAGTTTTGAGTCGGTGCATCATTTCCTAATGTACTAGAGGAAATAAAATCTTTGCTCAGTACATTCGTCAGCATTTTCATTATGAGTAATATGTCTTGAAACGCATCTTCTTCGGCTGTAGTGTCTGATGTGACGCGGTTCACATTGCTGGCAGCATAATTCTGTAAAAGTTGTACTATTATTCCATACAGGCCGTCGGTATGATGGAGGAAGTACAACATGTTTTTCGAGCATTTGTGGAATAAATCAAGTATAAGGTCAACAATTTGCTGATAATTGTGATAAAGGCTTATCATGCGCGGCATTTCATTTAGAACTGGTTCACAGTATTGGTAAACAGTGTGTACTGTATTACTTGTAACTCCTTCCGCGACACCAACCATAGTTTCAAGAACGTCCATTATTTGAACTTTGATCATTTCATGATGGTAAGTTCGTGGAAAATCGACGTGATTAATAATATCAGTGAACTTTTTTTGAACCGGCATTAATATTTGCCCATAATATTCTTGCATGCGTTCTGGGTCATCGGACGGCAGTGCCATGCCAACTTCTACAATAGCTTGTATCAATGTACGTTTGACTGATTGTGGTAAATCTTCGCTCTTAATAGCCAATGTCACTAAATCGACGAAACGTTCGCATTTCATTATCATACTCGCTCTGAAAAGAAGATTTGGGCGCTTTATAGTCGGATGTTCGAATAAAAAAAAATATACAGTAAAGATTCAACTCACTTGTTCGGAACTTTAACCAATGATAACAGTAATTTATGGATTTCATCGGTAACTGCTGCTTCGCCTTTGAAAGCCTGAATGTGACAAATAATTTTGTCCACCAAAAAGTTGAGGGTCCACGGAGAGCCTTGCGATTCTTCGCCGCAGGCCTCGAGCAGCGTCGTGCTTATTTCATTGTAGTTGGTCTCCTTTATCATGAGATAGCTGAGAGCCCATCGATGCATGAACCAGAGGATGCTGCTGCACAGCTCGGGCGACAAGTGCTGGGCGGCGTTGTAACTGATGGCAATTTTCGTGACTTCGCTCAGCCGAAACACGGCGGCCGTCAGTCGTATCACGTGGTCGGCCGATTGCTCGGCACCCGCGATGTCGCTTATGTTCGATTGCGGCGAGGCGAACAGTTGCAACGTCACGTTGATGTCCATCGAGCCTTCTCGTATTTGATTCATGCTGTATCGCATGATTTCGGACGGTATGAGAGGAGTCTCCCCGTCGGCTTCCATGCACAGCACGTGACCGGCTATGAGAACGAGCCAGTGAAGGTCCTCGTAAAGATTGTCCGCGATCGTTTGCTCGTTCATGTCGAAAGAGTTGGCTTGATTGACCAGACGGTTTAGATGCTCTTTCAGCTTGTTCGTACGATCTTCGAGCAGTCGTGAGAGCAACTGCAGCGCGTGATTTGGCACCAGTCTCCCGAACAAACCAATTGACAATAGATCTAAATTGAACTTGGTTCTGTCGTTTTCTTCCAAATCGTTCATTATATCTTGGGTGTCTGAAACATTTTGTATACCGGCAGCTCCACGCGAGCCGTCCGGGGGTGATAAATGGCATTTTAAATAACAGTTAAATATTTGCAGTGCACTTTGTTGGCAAAGGTCGCCCGGAAATATTGGTGCTTCCATGAGAACAATTGTCCATGCATCCAGAATACTTTCTAAACCTTCGGTAAACATGCAATCATCAGCACCTGCCTGAAATAAAATTAAAATCATTAGATTTATAAGCGCTAAGTAAGCTCATGATTGATTTGAATTACTTACATCTTCTTTAGAGGCACCTTCAACAAAAACGCAAGTGACTCGTACCATATTTTCTATATATTGCCTTCGGAACGCTTCTGGTAGATTCAAAATATTTGGCTTGAAGTAATTGTTCAATTTTTTAAAGATCAATGAAATTCCAATTGCTTCATGGTCAATTATTTCAATACTTAGAAGCAGTTCTAAGAAATTTTCAATATATCGTGATACATATTGCAATTTGCAATCATCACTTTGGAAGACAGTTCCATTCAAGCTAGCTAATTGGATCAAACAAGTTCTTGCATGATGTGCTAGTGAAGGATTGGTCCTTACTTTCCAGTATAGACGGAAGAATAATTGAACAATCATTGGCTCCAGCATAACATCACGCCATAGGGACGTTAATCGCAGCGTTGGACAAGTGTCTGTTTCATAAATTGATTCAAAAACACCTATCAAACGCTTTGAAAGATTAACATAGATGAATCCCCATGTAAGAACATTTTCGCAAATTGATAACAAATGTTTTATGAGAGACATGGTGTTTTCAGGTATACCATCTGTAGTAAATTCATTTAAAGCTTGACAGCAAAATTTGAATATTCTCTTGAGACATGTAACTTCAAACTGCTTCTTTGCTTTAAAGTGAACCTCCCATGTTAAACCAACATCAGAAGATTTTAGTGTTGTGGCATACTCTTGCATAAGAGATGATATAATACTACACCCCAACATTTGCTGCAAAAAATAGATTGGTTAAAAATGTAATTGATTTAGTAATAGGATAATGCTCAACTAATAAAAATTTTCAAAAACTGTTTCTGCAATTTGTTTTGAATATTTTTTAACAAAAAAGTTATTAGTTCCTTTTCTTTCAGAATTCATAAGGAATCTTGAGGAAAAAATTATTTGTTACACTTTATTTCAGAGACTTTACAAATGAAGTAAAATAAATTTAAAATAAAATTCAAATAAATTATAAAAACTTACTCTAGGAAGATCACCACTTTTTATAAGATTTTCAACTTGATTCAAAATTTCTTTTCTCTCTTCACCCAAATCTTCAACACTACCTCTCTTAACTATGATAGCAATAACTTGAAGTATTCTTTCTCTCACAAATGGAGCTAAAGTTGGCTTACTGATAATATAATGGAATAAATATTGTCTCATTGATGCTATGTCTGCTGGCTGCAACATATCCCATTCTCGTATCATTGCAATTTTGATTACACCAGCAGCCTCGAACAGGACGTAGTCCATTGTAGTAGTTTCCAAAATATTTCGACATAGCTCATATGGAGATTTTGTCTTTCGAAAATTAAGAAAAACAGCTTCTGCTGTCTGTCGCTGTTCCTGTGTTACTAAATTTGGAGTTGCCTGGACAAAAATTTTAAATATTAAAATGAGATTTAAAACATATTTTGTCATAAAAAAATAATTATAATGGTTTACAGATTTTAAAAATCTCATCTAGCTCATCTAATTGAACTTTCATTGATTTAACTGCCTGCAATAAAAGATTTTCCAATGTTTTTTAAATTTGAAAATATTTATATTTGATCAAATTTATTGAAATTATTATGATTTTAAAAAAAAAGTTGAGTTTTCATTTTCTTGTATGAACCCTTTTTTTTCAAATTTTCTACTTGTAGGTGTTGTGTGTATAAATATATTCATAAGTGACATGAACTTTTCCAGAGTACCTCTTCATCAAGATTAAACCATTTTTAATTAACTATACATTGAAGTGCTTCTCTGATATTAAGGTTTTAATTAAACAAGAACAAAAGGTTTGTATTAATATTTAGTAAAATTTTTTAATAAGTTCATCAATTTCAAATTTTCAAAATAAGCAGACAAAATAAAATGAAAATAACTCGAATTCTATGTCCAAGTTCGATGTAAGTGTAACGAGATACGTACTTATTGTATTAAGTTTATTAACTAAAATTTAATGAGTTTGTAAGGTATTAGTACAAGAGCGAAATTAGTTTTAAAAATTCAGGTTCAAACCGAACTTTAAATCAGTTTATATTCGATTGATAACCTATAAGGTCTGCTTATAAACCTTAAAATGGCTCGGCCATCCTGTCGAGATGTATAAATCGTCACGATGGTGCTATGAATTTTTTTTTAACGACAAGGAATTCCCAACTTTGTCGAGGAAAATTTACAACGAAAAACTTACAAGGATAACTTGTGCAGCAGCCTCCAATTCTCTTAGCACTAGGTCCGCCATTTTTATAAATATAAATACATAGAATCCTGCGAGGTGAAAATGAATGAATTCCACATGCGGAGTGCACTGTCTGTCTGCCCGTACTGCTGCTGTTGCGTGCACCCAAGCACCACATTGGCGGTCTTTTCTACATTCGGGGATATGCATGTGATGCTTGTGATGTACGGAGCAGAAAGCTTGTTAAATGGTAATCGTGACTGAATTTGGGACCGTGTTTTGGAGGCTCGTTGTAGAATGCGCGAATGAATATTTGGCGGTAAAACGATGCTTTCGTATAGTTCCCTTATTTCGAAAGTACGAACCTGTCAGTACATGCAAACTGTAATGCTGCAGCAGTATGCGTACAGCACTTTTTAAGCCGCAGATTTCAGGCCGTAAAGTGTAAACAAACATTACTGACAGTTCTACGGTGCGCGATTGAGATTGAAAAACTTGTTGAGAATTAAGATTAAATTTCATGATACTGACCTTATAATCAATGATTATAAAAGTAAACAAGCGTCGCTGCGATGGATAAAAAACCGCAACAGTAGTTAAAGAATTATTTATTTTCAAAAGGTAATTTCTTTAATAAAATCCATTAGGTTAGTTATAAATTAAACAATTTTTTTTCAAATGACGTTTTTTTATTCTCAGCGAAATTTCAGTATGGCAAAAGCCAAAAAGTGTGCAAACCCATTGTTTGAACAATGGTTGAAAGAGTGGCAGGATGAAGCTAAAGCAAGAGATTTACAGATGCAATTTTGCTTTGGCAAAGCCCTAGATTCTTTGAGGAGGTATCCCTTAGTTTTAGAAACTGGAAGTGACTGCATTATTTTGAAACATTTTGGTCACAAACTATGTGACATGTTAGATAAGAAATTGTCTCAACATAAATTATTAGATAACTTACCATCATGTAGTAATGATGGTTCAAAAAAACCTCGTAAGAGAGAAAGAAAGAAAACTGAATCTGACGATGCTCCAAAAAATGATTCTCCTTCTCTTCCAGAAGATACTTGTTCATCGCAAAATAAATTTAATTCTAATGATTCTAAAGAAGTAATCAATGATGATTCTCTACCAGCCAAAAAACGAAAGGTTTGTTTGACAGGCCTAAAGTATAAAAAAAAATATCTTTAAATTGTATAATAACTATGTTAATTGTAGAGTATCAACAAGCCTTATGTTCCTAAAATTGGATCTGCTGCATTTGCCATCCTTATAACAATGTATAAAAATTCTCAGCAACCAAATTATCCAGGTAAAATATTTTAAAATTTTAATTTTGAGACTATTACTTATAAAAAAAAATTTTTTACACTTTGTTAAATATTTCAGGTCACATGTTTAAAAAAGATATAATATTTCAAGCCCAAGCCGAGAGTGATTGTCAAATGAAGGGAACAGCTTTAGAGCACTACTCTGGATGGTCATCAATGACAACATTAATCAGTAAAAATTTAGTATCAAAAAAGAGTTCTCCAGCTAAATATAGCTTAACCGATTCTGGTTTAGCTTTAGCTATAAGTTTATATGAAGGACATTTGAATGTTAATTCAGATGAAGATAATGGAGTGGATGCAATTGAAAAAGTTCAAAATATTGATAAAGAAAAAAAATCTTCAGAAGCTGTGGTATTACTTAAGGACAAAAATAAAACCAAAAACTTACCTAAAAAACCCCAAGAAACTTATACCAGTAGTACATCTAAAATTTCTGATAATTTTGATTATCAGGTACAAGTCTCTAATTCTCCTCTTCATTTTGAATCAGCAGATAGAGACTTTTCTTTTCCTGATACCAGTGTTTTCAATCATGAAAATCAATATAATTTAGTAAATTCAGATGATGATGACAATGTATTTGAGGTTGAATCAAAGGTAAATTCATAACTTCAATATAGTAATAATAAATAATTGTAAGAATTATTGTTTCATTCCATCAAAATTGAATTCATTTTCAGTATGGTTGTAAAAATAATGATGTAAAAAGTAACAAACTTATAAAAAATGATTCTAATGAGTTTAACTATTTAAAAAATTTGTCAATAAATTCACCAATTAAGTCTTCTGTAAGAAAAGAAGTACCCATGAAAAATGTTTCAACAGTAAATAATGATATTATTGTTATAAATGATGATGAAGATGACTGTGATAATAATTATTATACTAAGGTAAGATTTAAACTTTTTGATATGTATGAAACACAAACTGAATGAAAATAATAATGCAGTTACTTTCAAGGGTCAAAGTGATAATAAATTGAAATATGATACAGAAAAATCACGAGTGGAACATTTCAGAACTACCCAAAAATCATCCACAAGTTCTGAAGAAGATTTTGAAGATTTTTGTAGAGAAAATGTTGAACCTATGATAACAGTAAAAAATAAACATGAACACTCAATCTATTCAAAAATTATAGATGAGTCACTCTCAACAGAACTTCATGATAATGAACAAAACAATGTAAGTGTAGAGTTTTGAGATAATTTCTAAATCTTTACTTGAGCATCCAAATTTATTAAAATCTATACATTTTCATTCAGGATCCAATAGAATTTGCTGAAATTGATAAAAATATTGAAAAAATTTCTGGAGTGAGTTCATCAAATGTCTCAGAAAGTAATAACAAAGCAAAGCCAAAAGCAGATGAACCAATACAAATGCATACCAAAGAAATTACAATAAGCAATGATAAAAATAAAAAAACAGCAAAGAAAACTGAGATTCCTGCAGAGATCAATACTGAATTGTTTTACTTACTACCCAACAACTTTGATATTATTTTACTTGTTGACACACAAGAAACATCAGGGTAAAATTTTTCATCATTATTTATATTGTAAGCAATTTAGTATCATTTTATTATTTCAGGCTCAAAGCAAAAGCGAAAAATGACGCTACTGTATCTGAATTATCAAAACAAGGAGTTGTTTTTGAAATAAGAAGTTTGAACGTTGGTGATTTCACTTGGATTGCAAGATGCAGATTTACAAAAAAGGAACTCGTACTTCCATACATAGTCGAAAGAAAACGCATTGATGATCTTTGTGCCAGTATTAAAGACAGTAGATATCATGAGCAAAAGGTTTTTGTTTTTTATATCATTTAAAATTTTTTACTTTTTTTTCTCACACATTTATTATTCAGTTTCGTCTAAAACAAAGTGGTATCAAAAATGTTATATATCTAATTGAAAATTATGGAAAAAGTTATCATGGTTGCATTCCAATGACATCATTGTTACAAGCAGGAGTCAATGCTTTAGTTCAAGATGATTATACAGTGAAGTACACAAGAGATCATAAAGATTCAATGAGATATCTTTCCACTATGACAACTATTTTGACCAATATTTTTGAAGTACGTATATTTATGTTCATCTGCAATACTTGTAAATAACTTTTTTGAACTTTTTTTCACAGGGTAAAGAATTAATTAGTTGTTCAAAAGATGCATTAAATAATATTGAGAGAGAGACCTCTGAAGGTACTGAGCATCTTATAGAATTTTCTGAATTCAACAAGTCATCTGTTAAAACTAAGGTAAGCATAATTCCAAAATTATCAAGTAATGAAATTAAATTGATTTTTTATTTTTAAAATAAATATTAATATTAATTGATCATATTTAGAAATTCAAGATACGCGAGATGTTTATAAAACAGTTGCTTCAACTAAAAGGCTTATCAGTTGACAAAGCTGTAGCAATAGCAGAGTTGTATCCCACACCCAAAATTCTATCCAATGCATTAAAAGAATCTGATGACAAATTATTAGCTGATGTGGTGGCAGGACCAAACAAACGAAAAATTGGACCAGCAATTAGTAAAACAGTCTATCAACTATATACAAAATACAATCTTTCGTGATACTTCATTCAGATCAAGGTTTTTTCTACTTTTACATTTGTATATAATATGATAATAGTGGAAAAGCAATTTTTTGTTATTATTTCGGTTCAATTTTGCAATCAACATGATCATTTGCCATTAAAAAAAATAATAATTTGTGCGTAAATGCAAAAAGTGCATTAATGTATTGTATATTGAATTATTCATATATATTTAATATAATAAGTATTTGAAATCACTCAACTCTCAAGTGTAGTCAGGTATTGTAATTTCTTTTTTATAAGATTTGTACAAACTCTAAAACTAAATAGTCACTTAATAGTTACAAGAGAAAACTTTAAATTAAAATTTAACGTGAAATACTATCAATTCATGTATATAATTGAAACAAAAAGTATTATGGAAATAAGAAGTATGTGGACACAGAAAAACTTAATAAATGAGAACTATTAAAAAAAATTAGTTATTTCATTAAGTTTATTTTATAAAACTTATTCTAATAAATTTAGAATATAACATTTTGGATTCAGTGTTAGGAGAAATAATACAAACAGATACTTTAGGTACCATAATTGTTGTATTATTTACTGTGTTGGTGTTGTCGTGATGTTGTTTTATTTACTGATCTTTCACTTCACGCAATCTGCGCACTGCTGATCTTACAGATGCAGCTGTGGTGGTTGCGAATACCCAAGCTCCTCCAGCAACAACGCGCTTGCACCTCTTGCAGGACCAGATACCAACAACGCTTCTTTTCATTGACTCCTGCAAATTAAAGAGAAAGAATTTTTAGTCTATGTTACTTCATTCAGAGGTGTAATCAATAGTTTTATCAATTTACCTTTCCACAGAAAGTGCAAGTGTACTTGCTGTGCTGGGTGATTTCCATTTTCTTCACCATTTTACGCAAACTGGCACCATAACGGGTACCGTACTTGCCGGTGATTCCGACCTTCTTTGTTCTCTTAGCCTAAATTGTTTAAAAATAAAATTAGTTGAGGTTTGATTTGTGCATATAAAAATGTATGTATCAAGCTTATAGTAATCATTGCAGCAAAATATTATCTTCATTTATTAAATCTCAACACGTGCAAACAGTCGACATGTGTCCTAAAATAAGTTTTCTGCTCGAATTTTTAAATTATTTACAACATTTAATTCACTGCACCGCACATGTGCGAACTAGCTTGGATAACCTCACTAATTGTAGCATGGATTTGAAAGCTATATTTGCACTATTTTACGTTGCAATAACATAAAATATTTGTATTCACAACTACGCGCATAAATTAATTTAATGAAAATATCACTTTTTGCAATAATTATAAACTGATACAAGACATAATTAAAGATTATTAAAATACCATATTAGAGTAGTGTTCAGTTAGCAATCTAACGCGAAGAGAGCGGCTCAAAAAAAGGCCTCGTGTACGTTTCCAAAGATAGTCGGCGGCGCTCGGTGGTAAAGTATTTCTGTCGTGAAACTGAGCACGCGCGGTCAATAAACCGCGCGAAGGATTATCTTTCGAGTTCAAACTCGAAAACGATGTGAATGAAGAAAGTTGAGGTTCTTTTCAAGTATTACATTGGTAATAAAAACATTTGTTAAATACATATTTTTTATTTGATATTATATTACACATTCGTTTTATCAAGCACACTAATAAAATAGGTATTGTTTTTAACACTCACGCTCGTTTCACAATTTTCAATGAATCTTACATCGATTTGTTTCTAATTCTATAACTCTAATTTTAAAATAAATCTGATATAATTTTACAATATAGTAGTTCATGATTGTTTTTTGGTCACTTTAAAACCACATCAATTAAACACAATTTGCTTGTAGCACCTCTTATTCTTAAATAACAAAAAAAAAATTCGATTTTTTCTTAATATTATAACAATTGTGATGATTTTATTATCCTTAAAAACTATTAAAAAACAAGTGTAATTTCGTTGTACATAATTCATTTGCTTTTTTCAGTCTAACATGACTAAATTGGACTATAGCATAACAATAGGGAATGTGTTTCTTGATGAGATTGTAAGTATTTGAAGAAAAATATAGCTCTCTTATGGCAAGAAACATATACTAATTATTTAGTTTCTTCTTACTCGCATCAAAAGCTAGATTCTTTTAGAAAATTTTATCGGAATACCCGAAATGTTACGATTGGACATTACGAAGAATTCACAAATATTCTTTGCATTGCCGTTTTTAAATTGTCGTCGGGTAAAATGGTTCAACTCGGAAAGAGTGCATAGTTCAGCAATAAATTTATTAAATTAGAAAATCTAGTATATCACAAACTTTTCTGTTCCTTTTCTTCATTGCTGGAAGTAGAATTAGTTGTTTTTCTATTCTGTCGCAGCTTTTCTATTTTTCTATAAAAAGTCCGGAACTTGCTTCTCAACACTCCTACCTGTAAGCGAAGATCCAAAAAAATTATTACCGGAATTAATACCAAACATTACTCATACAAAACATTATTAATTACCATGTGTGTATCTTTATCGAGCTTTTTACAGGTCTGAAGCTCCAGATGAACCTCTCTGATTAAGGCCAGCTTGAGCAACAAAATTTTCTTCCTCGAATTGTTGGGCTCGCCGCTGACGACGCCACGGCGATACTGGTCGAGCCTGCGGAGCTGGCGGAACTCGCGCAGGTGCTCCTCTATCACGTCCAGGCACAGCCATCTGACGCGCTCGACGCAGTCCGAGGAGCCGCCGGTCGCGGCACAGACGTTGATCAGCGCCTCGACGTGCGACTCCGCGTCGAGATTCGCCAGCACGAAATTCAGCAGGTTTCCCACGGAGATGGGCAGCTTCCACGGAAACAGGGTGCTATCCTCTTTTCTGAAATTCGCACGATTTTTTTCTCTCTTATAGAAATGAATTTAGAAAGAGGAGTCGTTGAAGTTGCGTTATCGATGCGCTTACCTTCTAGCGGGGAAAAATAGGATTGAAGGATAACGCGTCATCGTGTACTCCCACGGCAAGTCGTTATTGTCGCCGTCGATCCTCACGAATTCTAAATGGTCCATTTTGGCGAGGTAATGCGCAACGGTCAGGTAAACGTAAGCGACGGCACTGCAGAATCCACAGTATGGCGAATGATACATCACAACTACGTCCTGTGTTGGACAAAAAGACAAAAATTGTGTTCATTTCGAGTTTGACCTCATCTTACGCATAATTATTCAAAACTCGTGAGAACGAACCTTATCGGGATTGAGTATCGTTTTCAGAAATGTTTCGGTAGACAATTCTTCCACGCATACTCTCGATTGTCCATCGGACTCGCACTGCTGCTTCGTCGCGGGCGTGCGAATGAATCGCTGAGGATTGTTCGAGCGCAGCGTTCGTCTGAGATATCCGTGCGTATAATTGTTGATGAATCGCGCCAGGGTATTGCGGCCGAAATCGTCTTGCAGTACGTACTGAGATTCGTCCTGCGGCGAGAAAATAAAACGACTCGTGAAACGGATGTCTCGCTCGATACATAGGAGAAAGCGAATGATTCTTACCATTGGGTCGAGTATCACGAGAGCCGTTTTATCCGATTTGTCACCGAGCTCGATACCGAGGCCCTCGGAGAAGTGAAAATAATGCAAACTGTCGATCGCCACCAACGCCAGAGTCTTGTTCACGTGGCATCTGTCCTTGGTGAGCTGGACTTCCTCCTCTTTCGAATCGGCGGCGGCGTCGTCTTCGTCGCGAGGAAACACAGGCCTTCGGTAGCTGTATCCGGCGAGAAATCGGCGACACTCCTCGCGTTCGTGGGCCTTCTGTACCGACGCCGCCGATCGAGGATCGATCCTCTCGACTTCTTCTTCGTCGTTTCCCGTATCGCTGGATCGCTCGTCGCAGCTCTCGTTGGCCGAGCAGCTGTTGTTGTCCTCGTTGTCGCCTTCGAAGCTGCCAGGACGAGCGTAAGTCGCCGTCGGACGTTCGTCCAGAATCAGTGGCAGTTCGGCGCCGAACACGTCGAGGCTGCGACAGGCCAACGCCCCGGGCGCGGCGCAGACGGCCTGCGACTCGTCCCTCGGCAACGGCTGCTTCTTCGTGCACGAGACGCAGCGATTCGTCGGCGTGCCCGTGCAACACTCCACGGTGATGTTGCTCCAGGACCTTTCGCGTCTGGCGACCCTCTGCGCGAGAATCGACTCCTGGTGCAGCTGCTGCCGTTGCTGCTGCTGCTCCTCCTCGTCGAGTAGACCCGTGCAGTATTCTCGGCGCTTGAAGGCTCGCTGTGCCGCAGCGTTTCGACTCTCGCGCAGCCTCGACACCGTGTCGTTTATTTGCGGATTGCCGACGCAGTCGTAGTATTGAAGTCCTATTTCTCTCAACTGTTGGTGAAAAAAAAGTAGAGGGAAATTAAAGTATTCGCCTGAATTATTATCTTATTCGACCGTCGAATACTCACTAAATTATAATTATCGTTATCGAAATGAAGAGGATTACGTGGAGTAAATAAAAATAAAACAGGGCCGTCCCATAAGTAAGGAGCAAAAGTTAGAGATTTACTGCCGGGTGGTTGGATCCAAGTTACGACTCGGTGGAGAGAACTGCTTATCCAATTGTTGATATTATCTGAAGTCCATTTACTCGTGTCTGGATAAAACTAAAATCGTAGGGGTAATACAATTAGAAAAAATTAAATTGTAATGTAAAAATATGATATCATTACAGTACCAAAGTTTCGTTCCACATCAATAAACTAGCTGAAGGGAATTTCATTACTCCGTGATCCTCTATAAGATCTTTATTTATTACTGCTACAAATGCTACTTCCCCATTGGGATCACGTTCTAGATTTCGCAAAGCCGCTCGATAAAATTCTCTGTAACCTGGACTTCTTGATATACCGTCAAAACGAAAGTAGCCAATCATTACGGCCTTTGATTGAAAAAATAATAATTTTATGAATTACTCAATATTTTCAATAAAAATTAGTTAACTTACATCATATGATTTCAATAATTCCATTATTTCATCGTCTTTGCTAACTCTTATTATAGGATTCATAAAGTTATGTATGAAGCGTATCATGTAAGGTGCACTCCGAACTCCTTTGTACTGAATTCCTGATTCTTTTGCTGGATACATCATAAGAACAGGATAGCTTTGTATCTTACTATATCGAGCCCTACATTCTGATCCTGGATGCCAACAGTTTATTGCAGCAAAAAACACCTGTATTCATAATTAATATTGTAATGATTGTAAATATCATTTTTCTGTTCATTCAGAATTGATGGTAACCTGAGAATTGTAGTACTGGGCAACTTTTTCAAACTCTTCTTTTACAATTTGACTTTCTGCATCCCATGGAGCATAATACATTACAAAACAGAAATCAAAATCTGTTACTCTATCAATTAGTGCTCCTAAATGACCCTTATAGTAATCGAGAACTAAGGAACTTTCATTGAAAAATGGCCTTGCAATAGGAGGTTTTGATATTCGTGGTGGTCTGAAAGAATAATAAACTTTTAGTTTATAATTCTTTTTCCATTAAAAATGTTATCACTTACGAACTGTGTAATGCTGCAAGTGCTGTAAAAGCTATGGCAAGAAAAAAACATATTGTTTCTCTGGCATATGTGAACATTTTGCTAGATAGTTTTTCATCCAGTAATATCTTGGAACTTCTGACTTCAATTTTGGTATTGGATTTTCTAAATAGCTGTTGACTGCTAATTTTTTGCTGCTGTGATAGCTGTTGTTCTGATTCTTCAGCATTGCTAGCTGAAGTATTTAAATTTACTTTTGAATCTTGGCGATTCTCTTCGTTTGACATTATCCACCAACAGCCAAGCCAAGAGGCCCATTAAACTTTACTACAAGTTTCATTGATATCCCAATGGGATGTTTTGATAAGTTAACATTACGTGATGCAGTTCATCAGAATCTGTTTAATTAAAAAGATAGTTAGGATTAGATTAAATTGTTGCTTGGTAAATCATTCTATAAATAAAACTTAAGATATTTTTTGAATATAATCCAATATGAACATATTGTATTTTGTTAACAACTAAAGTTTAGGTTCAAACGGAACAACTATTGATCTGTGCTTGTTAATTAGGAAAACTACCATTTGAAAAATAAACTTAAGAAACTATTTTTGACTCGATTGTTCTCATATTTAAAGTGTCACAAACATAAGTTTCATTGCAGAAAAAAGAAATGATAACAAAATAAATCACGAACACTCGAAGTTTTGAGCACACGAATCACAACGGTTGTCATTAAAAAACCTGCGGCCAATAGTCAAGTGACAACAACGATCTACGTCAAAGCTTTACCAACGTCTATTGAATTAATAAATGTACCGTTTTTGTTTACGATTTGCTGCGGAAAACTCGGAGTCGCACTCGGCTATATTCTGCGCTCGACGAGTCTGTGTTCGCACGTCTAAATGCAGCCTACTTATATCGTTCTTAATAATTAATCAGTAATTCGATTATCGCAGCTTTATGGAACGAGCTTCTGCCAGTGCTGCGGGTATAAGCCCTAAGTGCAGTACATAGAATAAGTGGTGCGAGGTGCGTGCGTGCGACCGTGGCAGAAGCCAGCCTGATGTTATTCACGAATATCAGCTGATGTCAACGAGGTTATGACTGGCGCGTGTGCGACGACGACTTTTTTGTTGTTGTTGTTTTTGTCATTGTCATCGTTGTTGTTGTAGGTGTTTACATCCACTCATATGAATTGAAAATGTAATCGACAATTGTACGAAATGACCAAGTCGCTGCTGATCTTCGTGCCGGCCGACTTTTATCTGGAGGCCGGCTGCATATACGGGGAATTGGTGCCGAGCAACGACGACGTTGACAACCTCGATGGCGAATACAAATTTTTCGTTCTCGGTGTCCGAGACAATGTGCAGCAGCTCAAAAAGGAATACCCTCGAGGCGACGTTGTGCCGCTCGGCTATTATTACGGCCGGGAAAAGCGTCGAGAGTACTGGGACAAAAAGTTGCCGTGCTGGATCGAGATGTTCTTGTCGCCGCAGAGCAGCAACAATTACGATTATTGCCTGCGAAGCGTCATTCTGAACAATCAAAAGATCGACTTGAACAATTATCATTCGAAGATTGTACTCTACGATCGAGACTATTTGTTAAAAACGGAACTGTACACGGAAAAGTATCCAGCAGATCAGTTTCTCGAATTGCGCAACGTTTTGACTAGGGATGAGTCAAGGAAAAAAAGCCAAAAACAATATACTTGGTTTGGCTGGATAAGAGCCTACTTGTTTAGCTTGCTAGTCTTGAGTTTATTGCATCCGGTGTCGTGGATCGCTGGAATTTTAAAAGCTCTCAGTCCAGGCATCAGATTTTCTTTTCTTGGCTTACATTTAATCAAATGGTTCGAAAGTGCTGAGTGGATGTTGAGAACACTTATAAAGAATAAAAGATTTACTTTAAAAACCACCAATTATCTCATTGCCATGACAATTGATGCTGTACTAGGATACTTATCCATAAAATTTATACTTCACATTGTTGAAGATTCATCATTTTATGAAATTATATATTTTGAACGGGTAAATGTTAGACTCAATTCATGAAGTCAACATTTTGTAGTTGATAGTTAATTTTCAAATTTTTTTTCCACAGAATGTAGTAGATTATGTTAGAAATCTTATAGGCTGGTTAATGGGATCACCAGCAGGCCTGAAGTTGAATCGCCCATTGAATAATATATTAGGAGAATTTTTTTTATACCACTTACATTTATGGTTGTCATTTTTACTAGCAGTAAATCCTGTAATGGAATTTGGTTTTGCAATTCTTTTATTTTTTGGCAAACTTGGAATAACATGTCAAATGGCTATTATTGCTGATCTTTTAACACTTGTGAGCTTTCACACTTATTGCATTTATGTCTATGCACAAAGGTAAATAAAATCATTCATAATGATTTCAATAGAAATAAAAATTTTTTTTCTAATAATAATTTTTATCAACAGGTTATTTGCTTTACAATTACAAGGACTCATAGCATTATTCAGATTATTTCTTGGTAAAAAGAAAAACCCTCTAAGAAACAGAGTAGACTCTTGTGAATACGAGACTGATCAGTTATTTATTGGTACTTCATTGTTTACCATTTTATTATTTTTGATGCCCACCATCTGGGTTTATTATTTTGTTTTTTCAACTGTAAGTTGTCACAATAATAAAGTTTCATTCTTAAACAATGTAATATATTAATAAAAGTTTTAAACTTTTAGCTTAGAGTTATCATGATTGGTCTTGGTGGTTTCCTAACAAGATTAAAATTTTATCTACAAATCATGCCAATTTATGTTTATTTTAAATGGCTCTTTTGTACTAAAGAAACAACCGGTATGTAATTTATTTGTTAATTTATAATAATTAAATTCAAATTGAAAATACTTTATAAGAAATGTGATTCAAACTTTTCTTCAAAATAAATTTTAAATTTGAATTTTGTAAAAAGTAATTGAGCAGATTATCAAAATTTAATGAAATTGTTGCAGGTTCTATTGGAATTCAATTACTGAAAAGACAAGTAAAAGGTCCTACAATTTTGAAAACCAAACCTGTAATGGCATCATGGAGCATAACATGGAAAAAATCTATTCCAGATACATTCAGCTTACACCCACCCATTGAATGGAATAGAATAATCAGTGATTTAATTTGGGGAAAATTATTATATCCTCTATAGTCTATCAGTTGTCTATTATAGTGTAGATTATGTATTATATGAGAAATGTAAAATTATATATATTTTTATGTCAATAATAAAAAGTGTACGTCAAATAAGTGTCAAAAAGTTTAAAATTAAGCATTTACAAACAATTTAATCAATACAGTCTGCAACAAGAAGTACACAAGAAAGGAAAACATTTTAATAGAATACTATATGTACACAATTCACTGTCAGATATTTACACTCTTACAAAACATTACTTTCATCGTCCTAGACTAATCACCTTTTTTGTTCAGCTTGCTTAGCTGCCTCCAACTTCTTCCTTTTATTTTCCTCGTGATAAATTATAAAATCGGGCTTCTGATGAAAGTTGTAATCTGGAAATGCCTTCTCAATTCCGACCACGGTCTCGGTCAACGGGGCGTAAATTCGCTCGTCCAAGTCGTTCTCCTCTCGCAGATAGCAGAAGTAGATCATGAACGCGGCGACGCTGATCATCACCGAGTACTCGGACCACCAGACCCTCTCGATCGGCGGACCACCGGCTCGGCTGTACTCGGCTTTCCATTTCGACGCCTCCGACTGGGACCACTTGATCGGCTCATCCTCGGCGTCCTGCGTCGACTTCAGGCGACGTTGTTGTGAGACGACGTTACGAGCGATCGATCTGTCCGGGCAGCGACGAAAGTAGGTGTAAAAGTTTTTCTCTCGATATGTTTTGACACGACACCGTTTGTATATTTTGTGGATACTTACCGATTGATTCTGCATAAATTCTGAAAGACAGGGCTTAACCTAGGCACGAGCATTTTTTTTATTGTGAGCAATAAATTCGTAATGACAGTAATGACCGACGAGTCGATTAACTTCGAGCGTAGTTTATCGAACTCGTGAAAACTTTTTAAATTTTAAAACTGAATGTTGAGAAATGACCGTTTCGTAATGTTGCGATAATAATGTGCAAAAATGCAACTACAGTACAACCATTCACCACGATTTGCGCGAGAAAACTGGTCTGCTTGTTTTACTTTTGAAAGCGCATGTGCGCCGAGACTGACATGTGTTTTGATAATTTCATCTGTAGAAATGGATTCCATAAATCATAATAATCATGTATTATAGGCAGGCTCGAATTATTACTTATAGAACAGGCCTTACGACTTTTATTGTAAATGCAGTGCATCAAAGAGATAGCAGTTCAAGATTTTAAATTTATAGAATTTATGTATCAATATCAAAAATAAAAAATGTTATAAAGAAATCAAATTCGTCTTTGTACATTATTACTCACTCAACTTTTCTTTGAAAAATTTGAAAAATCGATTCTCATCCGTAGTCCTATACCAATTTAACTTTAGTTAATTAAATAAAATGAATGAATATTTTCAATCAAGGTTTTCAAGACAATAATAAATCTGATGTTTTATATTTAAAGTTTTTCTATTTATTAATTTACTCCTTGCATGAGCAATATGTTTATTCATTTGAAGCAATTTAAAAGCTATAAATTATTTAAAACTTCAAACTGAAAACTGTTACTTAAAAAAAAATTTTAATTTATTACAATATCATAAATACAATATTATACAGTATCATTAATTGAGTAATGATATTAACAATTATTTTTAACTATGATTTCATTCATATAGCTACATTTTATAGAAAATATATTTATAGAATCAATGTATTTAGTCGTTTTCATCGTCATTTTTCAAGCCACCAAATACTTGAGTTGGAATTTGTTGTTGTTCAACAGGAACATCTTCAGTTTCGCCATTTTCGCTATTATCTTGGTCCATTTCGTCGTCGTCGTCGTCATCATCATCGTCGTCGACGTCCATGGCATCTGCATCGATGTTAATTTCGTCTGGGTTAACAACTTTTGGTTCTGCACTTGCTCCACCAACTGTAGCTCCTCGAACGAAGTTGATTGTGTGGGCAGAGCGCATGATTTCTTGCTGTTCACCAGATTTCGTTGTGGCTGCATTCAAAGAATCCATGGCACTGATTGGCTCATTATTTTCACTAGATGTTAATGCTTGAGCCGATAAGTTGATCTGTGTTGTATTATACGCAGCCTGGATTGAACGTTTTATCCTAAGCATCTCTCTCATTGTGTCTTCATTACCGTGGCTTACTTCAAAATCTTTCCAAGTTTGCCAGAACTTGTTGGTCATTCTTGGATCTGAGAATTGACTACAATGAATGTATATTGCTCTTGCCCTATCAACCTCACCGAGTTTGGTTTCCATATCAGCATATCTCATGCACATCTCTCGAGCATTTTCTTCCTTTAATACTTCTATCGCCTTTTCATAAATCTCTCTAGTCTTTGGAACTCCATATATATCTGCTGCTTTTTTAATATAAATATTAAACATTCCGAATCGCTCTTCATCTAACACAGCACCTGTTGCTCTTTCATAAACTGACATTGCATGACGAGCCAAACCATGTTCTTCTTCTAACTTTGCGTACAACAAATATAAAGCCTTTGCATACTTTGGTGGACAATTTTCTAGGCACTGTTCAAACAGGTCTCTACTTCTTTCCAATTTAGATCCACCATATCTTTGTAGGAATTTTGTAAGATATGTATTCCAAATATCATAAACATTTGGCCATCTGAATAGAGCAATGCCTTTCTCATATGCTCTGAAAGCTTCTTCGAAATATTTGTTTTCTTCCAAGAATAGTCCATAATTTATTATGATCTGTGGAGTAGCAATTTTCAAATCTATGATCTTATCATAGACTGCTTTACATGTCTTGAAGGTTCCAAAACTTTCTTCCAAATCAGCATACATTGACCATACTTTTAAAGATTTATACAATCTCGCTTGTACAGTTTCAGTTTCATCGTGGTAAGCTACTTTTCTGGATGGCATTGCCGTAGCACGGTGCATCAACTTTAATGCTTCAGCATAACAATCATGGCGTATTTCCATTTCAGCCCACTCACACCATACAGAAGCTAGATCATCGACTTTAAGATAAGGTACAAGAATGGCTTTCTCAAATACTGTCCTGGCATCTGACAGTTGCCCATTTTTTTCATAAAAATTGGCAAATGCCACCCATAAAGTGTGTAATTTTCCAGCAGCTTGTTTGGGTTCGACTGTCTGCACAGCTTCAGTATAAGTATTAATGATTTCATGAGGTTGGCCTTCATACAATTTTACTCGTTCATGCCACTGCGAAACATTATGTGGATTTTGTCTTAAAGTAACTGAATTCAATAACAATAATCTTCTGCTCATAAGATGTTCAAGTCTGGCAATCCTCAGCTCCAAATCAATATCGTCTTCTGGAGTTGGATTTTCTCCAACTTCTTCCATTTTCCGTTTTATACTTAACTCTTCGAATTGAGCATATGCGTCAAATATTTGTGCAAAATCTCTTACCGTAGAAATGCTTTGAATGCCCTCCTCGTAAATATCTCTAGCTCTTTCAAAAAGAGCACTTCTGACGTAATAGTCAGCAAGAGCATTCCACAAGGGACCAGCTTGGTCGGTGTATCTCCTGAGTCCTCCACGAATGATTGCATCGACATTCAATGATCTGATTTTAGTTGGATTTTTTGATATCAAGTCGCACAGCTCGTTCCACAACTGATGCTTGGATTTCCCATATTTGGAAACGAATTCGTCAGCGTTGACTACTTCGGCGAGTTTGACCGCAGCCTCGTCCAGTTTCCCGATGGATATCAAGTAGTCGATGTACTCCTCCGCCTCCTCGGGTGCTAACTTGAGATACCTGCGAAAGATCCTTATAGCTGTCTCCGGAATGTTGTATTTTTTTACAAACGTCAAGTAGAGCGGCCATATTCTGTGATGCTGAGTGAGAGGCAAGGCACGCAGGGCCCTATCGAAGATGTGCCGCGTTCTCTTCACGAGATCTTGCTCGGTCATGAATTGACAATAGTCCATCCAGATCCTTGGCATTTTGTGCATGAAAACCAGGGCCCGCTCGAAGATGTGATTGAGCTGCTCGTACATCGGATCGTCGATGCGTCGGCCTTTGAGACGCTTGAGCCTGTGCTGCAGATAGGCGTACCAGAGCTTGTAACTGCCTGGCAATTCCTTCAGAGCTCTCTCGTAGACGACGTTCAAGTTCGAGCTCTTGCTGGCGGTCAGATGCTCGATGTAGCGCTGCCAGTGTTTGACCGAGTAGGGATTGCGTACGATCTCCTCCTCGTACACCACGTCCTCGGTCGTGATGGAGAGCTCCTGCTCGCTCTTGTTGTTGTGCTTCTCCATTTTATTACCACCGTTAACGGTTTGAGTGGACAAGACCATCGAGTTGAATTTTACACGACTGATTATTATAAGTAAACAACGAATAGGTCACTAAACACTTGGTTACAAGTAGCGTGCGTGTGAGATAGCCGGCTGCTCTCTGAAGCTGCACTGTTTTGAACTATCAATCGAGGAGGTTGCGTTTGTTTAGTAGTCAGGCGTCAGGTAACGTCACCACTTGGTAAATGACGGATCGATTGCTACAAACTGAAATTTGAAATTTTAATTTTACCTATTATTTTTTCGTTTTTTTGTGCAATCTATGAAAGTAGCATAGTAGAAGTTATGCAGATGATTGCTTAACGTTTTTATGCATTCAAAAAATTTTTTTTTAATATTTAATTTTTGGTTTTTTGATTTTTGTGTGGATGATGACTTCTGCTAGACGCATGGCTTAGCCTGTATCGAGTGCTCAAAGATTTGTTTTGCCTTACTCGGCACTTGTGTTGCGGGTTTTAAGTCACGTCTAGTGTTAATCATGCCGGTAGCGAATTAACATAATCAAAGATACTTTATTTAACGTTCTATGATAGTTGTTAATATAATACAGTGCTGCTTTAAAGTGTATTTTTGAGCATTTATTTTGCTACATCAAGAGGTTAAATTTATAAACTATTTTGAACTTAGGTTCTAGTTGGAAATGACATTAACAATGTCTACGGAAGATAATTATTTTGAACAAATGATACAGTATTATTTTACTGTTGACGATGTGAAGAATCTTTTAGAAACTCAGCATGAAAATGAATCCAAGTGTTCTGACTGGGCAAAAATATTGAGACTGGAAGGTACTCAAAAATTTCTGGATAAGAAATGCCACGATGATGCAGTTCACGCTCAAATTTGGGACTGTTATGCTCGCAGTAAGTTGTATGCACCTCCAAATTCGGAAAGTCTTGCTTTATCTTACTGCAATCAATCAGCATTTTTATTTCATACTTGCAAGTACAAGGAATGTATAGAAGATATAGATAGAGCCTTAAAAATCACAAACTCAAATGAATTAAAGTTCAAATTGCTCTGTCGTAAGGCTAGATGTCTGGCCTATCTTGGAAAAGAAGATAAATATGATGTATTTAACAAGGCTAAATTACTGATAAATAAATCTAACGAGACATACTTCAAAAGAAAAAAATTTACTCAATGCCTTAAAAAAGTCGAGAGAATTTTTCAAAAATTTGCGTATAAAGAAGTAGATCAGTAAGTTATAAATGATTCACTTAATGCATGATGCTTTTTAAAAAAATATTAAAATCAAATTAAATTTGCTTTTTTTTTCTAGTAAAGTGATTTGGTCCAATAAATCCAATGGTGAATTGTCTTATTCTCCTGATCAATTGACCACTGACATGAAGAATCTTTATACTCCAAAAAAAAGCAAAATATGTCACTATACAGATAATTCTCATCGAGATATACTGTATGAAAAAGAGTCTGAGGGACTTTTCACTTCAGTTCGTGTTGAAAATAATGCACAACAAGGCCAGCATCTAGTTGCTTCTCGTTATATTCAACCAGGTGAGCTGGTAATAGTGTCAAAGCCAACAATTACAGTACCAAGTTTCAAAAAGCCAGCCAACTTTTGTGACCATTGTCTTGGAGTTGCCTGGGCTGGGATACCTTGTAACGATTGCACTCATGTTATTTATTGTTCTGACAAATGTAAAATTGAGGCTGAAAAGCTGTACCATGATGTTGAATGCAATTTGATTGATAAAATAGTGGATGGAAATAGTTTTTATAATTATTTGATTCATTTATCAATCAGAATAGTCATTGCAGGTGTAAAAGAATTTAAGAGTATAGAGAATTTAAAAAAAGCAGTTGAGAAAATTGATTATAATAAAGGTATGTCAAAGTGAACTTTTTTATATTACATTTTATCTTTATTTATATTGAAAATGTGAATTTTTTGTCCTCTAGCACAAAACAATTCTTTTGATGATGCAGAATTTCCTTACTCTTCAATTGTAAGTTTGTTAGCATATGCTTGCAATCAAGTCAGTGAAGAAGCTACCGCTTACCTTGCGCACGAAAGTTGTAGGTCAGTAATTTTACTTGCTAAGATGAAAGATTTTCTTGGCAAAAACATTGGGTTCGATTCGATTGAGGACTTCACAAAAAATCACGATGCAGTATTCATAGGCTCACTGATATTTAGAATAGCTCTCATTACTCATGATTACGGAATCAAAGTGAGTATTTCTAACTACAATATTTTACACAGCTTTATCATTCGATGACATGAAATGAATTCAATCAGGTGATCGAGCAAGAAGGCCGCTGCCCGGAAAACGCCGGTAACGCATGTCTCTCCCCGACGCCCTGTTGCGAGCGAGGATACTCGATCAACGGCCTGGCGCGACTGATACCCCATAGCTGCAACCCCAACGTGAGATCGATGAAGACCGGGCCCGGTCGCGAAATCTGGTACGCCATACTGCCGATCGAGGAGGGCGAGCCGCTCGTCGAGACCTACGGTACGGCCTTCTTCGAGCTGGCACTGGAGCATCGCAGACCCGGGCGGGATTGCGGCTGCGTCGCCTGCCACGAGGAATGGCCGCCGGTGCTGACCGAGGCCAATACCGACGAGGTCGCCGAATTTTACGCGTACGTCTTCAGACAGGTACTGGACAGCTGCGAGACCCGAGCCAAGAGGCACAAACTCGTCAGATTGATACGCAAGTTCGGCTTGGTCCATCAGAGGATAATCGAGGAATTGAAATCGATCGTGGAGGCGGCTTATTATTATTATGTCCAGCCTTCGGCTTGTATTTCCGCCGGAGTATTTCTGATGATATATGTTTTTAATAAACTGTACGGATTGAGGATGATATTGCCGCACAAATGTAGAAAAGTCGATCGCGAGTCTTCGGGCACATTGTAAAACTATCGAGTGTGCAATGTTTATAATAAGAGATGTCCTATAATATATATATATTTTATGAAATTCAATTAAACAAAATCGTAATAATTTTTATAAAAAATAAAATATCAATTTTTGTTTTTAAACCTACCGCTCAACTTATATTTCAAATTTCAATCGTCGAGCAACTCCATCTACACTCAATCGTAACCTCACATTTTGTCGTCTGTTCGTTATTTGCGTTATACTGAATGCAAAAGCGTGTGTGGTGGTCGGTACACTTCTATTTATACTTGACTATTTATCGAGTTATCATCTTGCTAACAACGTATTTTCATTGTAATTGACTTTGACGATTGGGTAAGATTATGCGATTGATATTTTTCTTTCGAGTTCATTAAAATTTAACCATTTTTATGTAATATTGCAACGACGCACAGTATTCATTGTGTATATGAATTAATTGTTGTCTGTCTTATAATCAGAAAAAACATGTTGAGAACCGGAGTTAGATCAGTTTTGAGGACTCTGCAGTCGAGGACTTTTGCAAGTGCCTCTACGCAAGAACAAGCCGCCAGATCCAGTAGTTTTAAAGTTCAAGACTCCAACGACTTCAATGAGCGCGTCAAAAACTCAAAAGTTCCTGTAATAGTGGACTTTTTCGCGACGTTAGTATTGATTTGAATTAGGTAGAAGTAATTTGACTCTAAGTATTAAATTGAAATTATTTTTTACAGATGGTGTAATCCATGCAGGTTATTGACACCGAGAATAGAACAAGTAGTTGCAGAAAAACAAGGAAAAATTGTTTTAGCCAAAGTAGACATAGATGAAAACACAGATCTTGCACTGGATTACGATGTTAGTAATAGTAACTGGTGATGTTATTTATTTTTTTTCTTATACTGATCTCATTTTCAATTTATTTTGTAGGTCAATTCAGTTCCAGTTCTAGTGGCTATGAAAGATGGGAAAGTTTTGGAAAAAATTGTAGGATTGCAAGACGTTGACAAATTGAAGAAATTTGTTGACAAATACGCTGAAGCTTAAATATCTCCAAAAATCATGATTGTATAATAATTTAAAGCAGCACGTTTGTTGTAAATTAATTAGAGTTTTTATTGTATAGATTATTAAAAACTGTTATATACTTAATTATATGACAATGTCATATTTGGGTATATCAAAAATGCATTGACATTTATTTATCAACTAGTTAATGCTGTTCTATATACAACTTTATGTGATTATAATAAATGTTTTTATCGTAAAGTCAACTTATTCTTTACTACTCAATGCCTCAATAAGTTTTTTTGCTCTTGTGTATTCGGTAGTTTTCTTGCCTTCTTCATCGTTCTCAACACCTTCAGCACCATCCTCTATCTTTTTGATTATTGCTGTTGCTTTATCAGTCAGTTTTTGTCTTGCCAAACCTTTAATTCCTTCAAAATATTCAAGTATAGTCGGGAACATTGAATCAGGTACATATTTGTCACTTAAAAAGTTGTCCATTAACCAAATCTGTTTTAATTTCTCAAACTTCCAATGACTTTTTGCATGTTTCCACTGTAATAAATTTATATTTTTTAATTAAACTCAATTTAAAATGCAGAAATATGAATAATTTATTAAATTAAAAGACATTTACCTTTGAAACATAATTTAATGCTTTTTTAGCACTTTCCAGTTTGCTGGCCTCTCGAGCTAAATTAAGACGTTCTTCGTGCTTCTCTTTTTTAATTTGCCGTATTGATTTTTCTTTTTTTTTTGGTTCTCCTTTACTTTCATCATCACCTTCATTACTTTTTGCAGATGTGACATCTTCTTTATTTCTGTCAAAAAGAAATTATTAAGATTTTTATCAATAAAATGAGACTGTACTCAAATATTGTTAATCTATCGATTCAGGAACTACGATTGTTTTCAATTTCATTGTAAACTCACTTCTTTTTTTCTTTCTTTTTCTTTTTTATCTGTGGTTCATCGCAATCATCCACGCTTTCATTTTGGTCCATGTTGGTAGAAACATCTTCATCATTTCTGTCAAAAAGGAAAACAAAATATAAAATATTTTCAATCAATTTTCAATCATTGAAAACAAATTTCAAAAAATACTCACTCTACTGATTCAGGAACCGAGGATTCTTCAAATTCACTTTGTACTTTCTTATTTTTGATTTTCCTTTTCTTTTTCATTTGTAACTGGCCACTATCATCCGCACTTTTATTTAGACCCATGTTGATTTTATAGCAAAAATAAATACAATACAATAAGGAAATCAATCAGTGATGTATGCGCTCGCAACACGTGCGTCAAGAGACTGCAGACTATGTGAAGCATAATTGTGCTAGCCGCACATGGACGCATGGTTGATGTTTGGCCGCCTGATGGCGTGTGTTCATACCATCAACTGCGTGAGCGGCAGATTTTGAATTATTGAGCCGAATCCAAAATTTTCACATGATTTTTATAATTATTACTGTTTTCGGGACTTTTAAATGTTTCTTTATATTAGAAACAAGATATTAAAATCAAGAATACTAAATTTAAATATTGAAACCACTGCCAATTCATTGGCAAAGAGCTTCCTCCCTGAAATATTTTTCTGCTGTAAATGCTTCATAAGTACCATTCAATTCTGAATCTGTTGTACGTTGGTTAATTTTTAACACAACATTTGTCGACTCGTCATTGTCTTGGACAGAGATCTCTATTCACTGAGCTGCGAGTCCGATAAATATCTATGCTTCAGTTGATGAAACTTAAAACAATCCGACCTTCATTATTTTGCTTTTCAATGCTAAAATTAAAAATTGATATCCAATGTAATTATACTATAACAATATAGTTGGTGCTGTTCTAAAATAATTGACTCACGTACCGTATGGAGGATGAATACTTATCCTTAAGGAGATTGGTAACAGCTTCTTTTAACCGTGGTTTACCATTTGGGCTGTGGTTCCCTTTTCCGGTAACTAATGTATATTTTACCTGTTTGTTTGTTTGCTGTTGTAAAAAATTGTTGACCATTTCCAAAGCTTCGTTGATGTCAAAATAGTGCAGATCAAGAGTAAATTTTGGATCATCTGTCGTCAAATTCAATTGACTACTTAAAAGTAGTAGTCTTATTTTTTTTATTACGGTAGCGGCCTTATGGACCGTCGGATTCTTTGATTTTAACCATTCGTAAAAAGTGGTTCTTAGTTCTTGGATATGAATACGAAATTTGTCCTCGAATTTCAATTTTTCTGCTTTGGCCTAAAAAATGAATAAAAGCAATGTAATGAAAAATTCTTTTGATATATTATCAAATAGTTTAGCAGATATGACGGTTTAAAGAATCAATTATGTTTATAACTTTTAAAAACACCTACTTAGAGAAAATCGACCTGGAAAAAACTTCGCATTCATTTATAATACTTCCATAAAAATTTTTCACAGTAAATACCTTAAAAAAAAGCACTAAAATCCAAATCCCGAAATAGCTGGTATTGAAGATTTTGGTATTGGTGATTGAACAATTTTTCTTCATCCCCTGGTCGAAAGTACGCGGTTTCGCCACAGGGGCGGATCCAGAACCGAAGTTTAGGGGGGTGATCATAAGAAATTTTTTTTGTAAGTTACAAACGTAACACCAAAATTAATCATTGAGATGAATACCAATAGTAACCAAATCAACTTACACGGAAAAACTTTTGACCATGTTTTACGCTCGAATGCTGAAAACGAATCACACTCGAGTTCTACTGAGCTCGTTTCATAACCAGCACTGAGTGCGATTCACGCTCGAGCTCGAGCATGTATCACGCTCGAGTTCGGCTGAGTTTGTTTCAGTGTTGCGGTGAATACGATTTACGCTCAGTCTTGAGCCACTCAGTCACAATTATTGAATAGATTTAACAAAAATGAATAAATATTGAATGTAAGAAATTTATATGGGGTGGTGACTCTCGCAACATTCGTCCACAATGTAATACTTGGTCAATTTGACAATGAGTTAAGTATTATAGTCAAGTGAATTACTATGTAATGACTGTCATTTTGGTTTTACAAACTGTTTTTTAAAATAAATCAATGCAAATATAAAACACAGTATATTAAGCCCCCTTCAGCAGGCTGTAGCGAAAATGAAAAAAAATTTAGATGGAAGTGAAATTTTAACCAATGATAGTTTATTAAATGAAAAGATTATAGATGTTATAGGAAATCTTATTCGCTTTCGAATGATATAATTATAAATGGGTGTTTTAAACCATTTTCAAAAGATATTAAGAATCCAACATATTTGCCCTATGTTCTGTCATGCTAACTCTGTGTGCTGCGTTACGCATATAGACACATTAATCTTTCAAATTCATGATTCATGATTAATTCGCTCTCATCGGCAGAACCCGAGAGCATTTCGTGCTCGGGTCTGAGCATGAACTGTGATCGACTTCGAGCGCGAATATCTTTCCAGATGGAGTTAAGGGTAACATCCTGCTCAGCGTCGGTCATAATACGCACTCGATAGCCCGACTGGAAACTAAATACGGGTGCCCGGACTTATATTCCGGCCCTGATTTGAAAGTAGAACAATATCCTTCTGGCACCTGAAATGGGGTGTAATAAGGTGCTTTTCCGGGCCGGATACGGAGCCCATAAGTTTAAAAAATTTTTTAAATGAACTTCAGGTCCCGTTCAAGACCTGATCAGGCCCAGAGCTCTTATTACATCAATGATTTTGTATATAAATTAATAGACAGTGTATGTTTGTAAGCGTTGAAAATCACATAAAATTAATAATTAAAATGTTTTCTCGCAAAAGAGCTGCGAATAGATTGAGCGTGAAAGATTATCGAGATAAAATAAAACTCATAAGTGCAGAATATGATGAAAATAGTGAAAAACCTCCATCAGAACCTCCTTTAAAAAAAAAAGAATTGTTTAATGATTATGTAGAAATGAAGTTTGGTGTTAATGATGCATCTAATAATTATAATGATTCTAATAATTCTAATGAAATAAAACAAAATAGAAATTATGAAAGTGGCGTTAGCTGTGATAAAAGTGATAGCGAGGATTTAATCCTGTTAATAACAATAGTTCTGATTGGGATAGCCATCGTGCCAAAAAAGCCAAAGTTGATTAAATTCTATGGTTTTTAGTTAGGTACTAGTTCTATTGTACTTTTCAGAAATTTCTATTGTACTTCATATTTTATAATCATGTCGAAAATAACGACTATTAGACTGACTAGATTTGTACAATAGCTTAAAAAATTTTAAAACTGTATTATTGTATCTTATATTTTGTTAATAAATGTGTAAATAACATAATCTTAGTTTTTCTGTTTTTTCTTCCCTAGATCGTAATTATATCTAAAAATAATAATTCTAAATCAGGCAAACTCAATTAATTTGTTTATAACAAATTACTCGACCATCTGAGCGAGGTGAGAGTTGAAAATTCGGATTCAGCGGGTCAAAATACGTAGAAAAACACTTCGTTTTTTGTGGGACCTGCCAATGCACACGAAACCCCCTCAGCGCCTAAGGGCGTCTGTACATAGCTCTTACGCGACGCGCTCGTGCGTAATCAGGGTTTCAACTATGCGATGCGAATACTTAGAGGTTAATATTTACTTCCACATTAATCGGATGGGTTCATATTTTATTTTGCAGTTGAAACCCTGATTACGCACGAGCGCGTCGCGGCGCTAACGCGGCGCGTAAGAGCTATGTACAGACGCCCTAAACTAGCACGCCGTGCGCGCTGCGTGTCTGTCGATTTTCGCGTTTGTGTTGAGCTCGCTCCGAAGAGACAGGCACTGGTCGAGTGTTGGGTCGTGTGTCTTGTAAAATCAATATCTCCAAAACTATGCATCCGACATAGATAAAATTTTACACAGTTATTCTGCATAATAAGAGCTACATTTGTGCAAAATTTCGTCGCTTGCTACTATAATTTTTTGTCCAAATCGGCCTTTTTTCAGCTAAGTGCACTACACCGTGACGTCGGATCATCCTTGATGCGCGCCAGAATAAATTTAAAAAAACACAAGCAATGATTCAATGATTATTTATTTTTATGAACCTTAACTTTTAATTCGACATTAATGCTAATTATTTATGATGACAATTCTTCATAATGCTCGTTTCTGATTATTGCAAATAATCGCACACTAAAAATAAAAAACACCCGATCAATATACCTACTAGTTGAAATATACGGGCTTTTTCACGCCGAAATACTCTGTTTAAACTGCGTTTATATTCTGTATCAAAATTCCTATGTTCACAAATAATTCAAATGGTTAATGGTTTAATATTTATGGAAAGTAAGTATGAAAAGTTTTACTTACTAGATTTTTTGGTAAATTCATGTGGCAAAAAAAAATTTCTTGAGTGGCCCTTCTCAAGCTGTTATAAATTTTTTTTTCTTTATCCGGCAACGTGTTACAATTTTTATCCCATTTCTGTAAGTAATCTTCATAGTTTTCTCTAATCTGCAGTGAACTCATAATTGCGTATGTCTTCTATGAAATTTCACGTTGAACTGAGGTAACAATAAATTTCGACTGCGATATATGTATTGAGCGATGTCGCTGCTATATATAAAATATAACGGCGTATACTGCTATGGAGGGGGGAGGGGAGGGGCGAAGAGGAATGAGTGGTATAGCCACTCATGTGTTACTGTGTACTGCCGCGCTACAATATTGTGTGCCTGATATGATCCACAAAAATTGAGTTAGGCACGCTCAATATAGATGAGGGACTTTCACACGATGTATGGTGTAGAGTAGACCGGGTCGTTTTTGAAAAAATTTTTTGTATCGCCTGGGCTCATGGCTGAGCTGAAAGTTCAAGGTTTCAGATGAAAAAAGCCGGGCTGCAGAAGTCAAAAAAGTGACCGGAACCGGTGTCGATAGGCGTTTGAAGTTTAAAAACGTGCTTCGGAAATTTAGCAAAATCGCTCTGAAAATGGCAATCATATAATAGATTGCTAACATTGCTCAGAAGGTAAAATTTATGTCGACAAGACGTTTTCTTGCGTATTTTTATGTGTAGAATCGAATTCCGTAGTCAGTTTTAACCTAGGAGGGCGATTTCATTGAAAAAAATGCCCTTTTTCGATATCTTTATTCTGCGTAAAAAACAAAAAATCGTCTTGTAAACGTTTAAAAATGAACAGAAAAAATTTAGAAAATTTTTTGACACTGCTAAAGTTTAGGATTTTTCATGACGAATCCAATGGTATAAATTAGTATAAACTTTGAAATTAGTTTAATGCAGAAAAATACATCTTTATCCCAAAAAACGACATTACGA